AAATCTCTATAAATATAATCATGGTTAAAATGTAGTCAAAAAGTACAGTCACATTTTCGAGTGTGAAAAGCAGCCTATACAAGATGATCAAAAAGTTTTTAAGTGGACATCTGGGTGGCTCAGTCAGTTAAGCGTCTGCCTTCAGCTCAGGTCATAATCCCGGAGTCCTGGGATGGAGTCCCACATCAGGCTCCCTGCTCAGTGGGGGGCCTGCTTCTCCCTCTCCCTCTGCCTGCCACTCTGTCTACTTGTGCTCTGTCAAATAAATAAATAAAATCTAAAAAAAAAATTAAAAACAAAGTTTTTAAGTGTTCAATTCACATAGGCCTTTCATAATCCAAAATGTTGGCAATGATTTCCCTGTGAAATAGAATTACAGAAAGTTTCTTTTGCTTTGTGATATTTCTGGTTATTTCCAAAATTCATTATTTTATTTTGTAATATAGGGAAACATTTAATACTTAGATGAGTAAATAAACTGAGATCAGTAAATAAACTCTCTACATTAAGGTGACGAAGGTATTCACAGAGCAAGGCTCTGAAGGATGGCCATTATATTTTCTATGAATCGATTAAAGCAAAAGACATAATCCTCCCACAGGATAAAAAACAGGACTTTTTCTTCATGCCATTGTATTAGAACCCTGTGTGGTCAGGTGTAATGGAAATAAATGTGTGCCAATTCTCCACGCCGACTGAGAGATTGAGGAACCTCTCTAACCTGGAGTCTGCTGGGAGTGTAACTGTGCTCGGTATCCTGTATTTGCTGCTCCAGATCCACACTTCCCCTTTTGGTGCCCTATGCTGGACCCTGTTGTCCTAAAGGAATAGCATAAAGTGGCTCCTAGTCCTCGAACTTGTCTTTGGATTTGGCCAATGGCAGTGATGGGGCAGACAAGACAAAGAAGAGTCGGGCTCTTTACTTCCCAGCTCCTTTCCTGTCAAGCCACTGTGGATCGGCTTCATCCCTCTCCTGAGGGCCACAACTCCTATTGGGCAGCCCTCACCATACCACTCAGCCTCCCTCTAAAATTCTGGGTTTCCCCAGTGGCTTCTCCTACCCTTACCCCTTCAAGTCTAGGGCTTTAAAAGCCTCTGTTAGTAGCACCAGATGTTGCTCCAGCTCTTAGTGCTTTCCCTAAGCCCTGCCCACAACTTTGTAATGAGTTCTAATAAATTCTCAAATCATCCAGTTTGAGTTGGTCACCTGATTCTTGAAAGCACCCTGGTTGATATATTAATATATGTAATTATCCAAAAGAATAATAAGGCTAAGTGCATTTATCCTTCAAAAACCAAAAAGAAAACAAAAGTGACCTAATATGGCTTAGATAAATTTTTTCATGCTTGAGATAAAAAATAAGTTCAACCCTGTGTTAATGCTATGATTCGATGATTCTATGATACCAGGATCCTTGTCCTTTCCAGTTTTGTTTTGTTTTGTTTTGCAAGTTACTAACCCTTATATCACCTCGCCATGTACAGAACAGCATATTAGAAGAGAAATAGCAGAGGGAGAACACTGGTTATCTATTTCTCACAAGATGAATTGCTTTGGCCACATCAAATATAAAGGTAGACATTTTTCTTAGGTACCCCCTTGTATGTTTCATGGCACACCTTTTCACTTTGCTGTGACTGAGTTTTACTTTGCCCCAAGCTTTAAAAGCTAATCAAGTTTACTGCATCCAGATGTTTCTGGTCTTGCAGCACAGTAAAGTAGCATGGACTCAACTGATTAACCATTTAAGTTGATTAACCATTTAAGGATATGAGGAGCTCACTGAAAGAGATTTCTCCTTAAAAAAACGAGATCATCCCACAAGGTTGTTTCAAGAGCCAACTCCTACACCCAAAGAAGGAAAGACAATTCTGAGAAGAATATGGGATCTGTCCATCAGATTGTCCCAATCCCATTTCCCAGGACTGGGGGGGAGAGGTCGTGCTCTTTTCACTCCAAATTATTGCGAGGCATCCCAAACACAAAGCATAGATAATAGTATAAGAAAGCACAGCACAAGAGATGAGAGAAAGCAATGCACTCTCATTTGAGGAAAGAAGTTCAGGCTCAGTGAATTAATACTGGAGCCCCTCAATGAGTAGAAGAGGTCAACTTCAACACCAGTGACAAGTCCCCTGCACGACGGCTCTGATAGGGGCTGGTGATTCTCTTAGCTGGCACATCACCAAAGTTCCAAGAGCTCATATATTGGCAGTGGAAGTGCCTTTGATGGTGAGCGCAGTGTGATCAGAATGTCATTGGAAGCTCTGGGGGGCCAGAGGCTTTACCTGCCAAGGGTGGTAGTTACAGTGTCAGCAGCTACAGATGAGGCTGATGGCTCTGGAAGTGGCAGAGAGAGCCTCCTTAGCAGTGGGCACCAGCAAGAGCAGTCAGTTACCCTCATATGAGTAAGAGAACTCCGGAACCCATAGTTTAAAGGGACAGATTCTCTGATATCAGCTTTCTTTTTATCCGTGAACAAAAGGTGAGTTTATAGTATTAGGTGATCTCTTAAGCCCTCAGGAAGAAAAATCACTGAATGACAGTGTTATAAAGGAAAATCCAAACAGCGGCAAGTCTGAAGTGGCTGAGGGCAGCACAAGGACAATGGGGGACGCATGATGACAAACACGATCTTGCTCCCAGCTCTGCCAAGGACTGGGCTTAAATGTTGATAGCACAGAATTCCAACAACACACTTGAAATAGGAACACTAGATTCTTGTATACCCCAGGAAAAATAAAGAGAATCGGGGCACCTGGGTGGCTCAGTCGTTAAGTGTCTGCCTTCGGCTCAGGTCATGATCCCAGGGTCCTGGAATCGAGCCCCGCATCGGGCTCCCTGCTCGGCAGGAGGCCTGCTTCTCCCTCTCCCACTCCCCCTGCTTGTGTTCCCTCTCTCGCTGTGTCTTTCTCTGTCAAATAAATAAAATCTTTAAAAAAAAAAAATAAAGAGCATTGAAGATAGAAAAGCATAAGACTGCAAACCCCTTGAAATATGTTGATTCTAATTGCACTGTTTCTGTTCTCTCTACAGAGTGGCAAATTTTGTATGTCTCCCTAAAGGCAGGGAAACCAATGGAAATACCACAAAATGCTTTAAATAATAAACCAACAGTTGTCTCAACAACAGTTGAAGAAAATCACAAGGAAAGTGTTAACTTCCTCAAAATTAGCAATAAATGACAAGGGCAACCCTATGCTGGTATCAAGTAATGGGGTAATAAAAAGTTTACTGCAGGCGCAGGGGTATCTTACTCTTATCTGATACCCACCAAAAGGACATCAGCAGAGTAAGGAGCTCCTAGAAGGCTCTCAGGAAGCAGAGCACCAGCCCGGGGAGCATGGTAAGGAACACAGCCACAGTGGGAACTGGTTAGGGACTTGGATGTCTTCTTCAGACCACAGCCAGCCCTCTCGGTCACTGTGCTATCACAGCTCATTCCGCAGCACTATCATTATCTGTCCTGCCCTCCCCCCCATCTCATCCAAGACCTGAGAAAGCTCTGAGAATACAGATCATGACAAGCCAAGACTGGGAAAGCCACTGATGAGGTCAACTACAGTGTTCCTCTGAGCTTCTGGAATAAGGAATTTTTGCAGAGGTATAAATGCCCCACAAATATTACTTGAAGTGGACTGAAAAATCATTTATGACATTGAGTCGTAACTTCTCTAACTTCTTTACTCAGCAAATGCTCATCATTACAAGGAAGACTGCTGCAATCTACTCGTAGGAACAGGACTTAGGTCACCAATATAAACTAGGAATAAGAAACTCATAGAATTTGGTTTTTCATTAAAGCAAACTTCAGTACTTTTAAGTGTTCAAACTGTGCCTGATCATGAGAAAGAATTTGGCAGGTGGTTCAATGATTGTAACAACAAGCACTCCAATTTTGGAAAAATCAACTGTAAGTAAGAAGACTGGATCAGCTATATATTGTTTTTTACTAAGGCCAAGATACTTTTCATTCTAAAAGTCAAGCACTGCAGAAAACAAATGCTGTGAAGTAGTCTTGGGAGAGTCAGAAGTCTGCAAGTGCATAAATCAAGGCTAAAAGCCATCAGGTTGTAGAACTGAAGATTAATTGCCAACTCAAAACGCATCTGTGTTCTCAATCACTGAAGTAACAAGATACTGCAGAAAAACCACGTATTACTAACCCACCCCAAATTTGATCCATTTATGTCTGTCAGTGAATAGGAATGGAAAGCATTTTTCTCTAAATGGATAGACTGATCCTTATATACACACATACCCTAAGACAACCAGAAAAATCTAAGTCTGCATAGGTAATCTTAAAATATCAGGAAGAAGACAAAGAGGCTTCACCAGAGATGCATAAACACACATATTCATTTAAGACACACCATCCTCTAATTCTTGTTTTTTTATTTCGTGTGAACCTTTCAGGTAGAGTAAAAATATCTAAATGCCCATTCCATCTTAATATATTCAAGCAAAGCTCCCGGGAAGGTTTCCAGAGAGTTAGATTGCTTTAAAATTGGCCCATGCATTAAATAAAGCTTTGTCTCCCAAAAGGGAACGAGTAACTGATACAGTCTCTGTACATTCACTCCACACAAGGTTCCTGTAGCTGGAAAGCATTCTCGAAGACAAACAACAAATCAGATCGCAGCTCTGGAGACTCATACGCTGCCTCTTCAAGCAAACCTGCCAGCTCGCAACAGTATGAGGGCCCACCATCTGCTTCCCGAGGAATGTGTAATCTACCTGCTCTGTTAGTCCCCCAAAGGTTCTCCTACTTTCCACACCGGCCGCCCTTCATTCATTCCATGGCCTTTACCTTTCATCTCTAAGAAATGCATTAATGATAATTGTGCAAAGGTTCTGTGCTTGAACAGCACAACCAAAAAAAAAAGCCTTACATTTTGTGGAGAAACAAAAACTCAAATTCTGGGAGGACTGAACTGGCACTAAAAGCCACGGCAGCAAAGGATTCGTTCCATGGGTACCTGGCTTCTTTTCACATTACCTGCTTCGGTGTACTTCAATCCCACTTTTTCTTCTGTGTCTTTTGTCTTCGGGGGTGGCCAGACAGCTTGGAGTCTGCCTGGAGTCCTATCGTCCTGCTCGGTGGGGCTGTGGTCCGGCTGTTGAAAAGCAGGTAAAGAAAAGAATACGTTACATGAAATGTGGCCAGAGCGAATTAACCCCTGAAAACGTGCTACCTGTAACTCCAAAATTAATTTTAATGGCCAGTTGCACATTGCGCTCATTCACTATAATTGAAACATCTCACTACAGAGTGACCCTTTTCCAGAAAGGTAAAGTGATCTGTAAGGGTGGAAAAAACAACAAAAGACAAACCAAAACAAAACCCTCAAGGCCAAGTACGATACAACCATTAATAGATGATGTTTATCATATAACTATTTTTTTTTTATAAATCACAAACTTTGAGCTGAGGATACAGATATAAACGCACTATAATCAGGTACATTTATAGGAATGATTATACATGTATCCCAAACAACTCCGGGGTATTTTATAATATAAAGACTAGTTTTGCATTTTCCGTGAACAATAGCTGTAGGTCAAGATACATTTCTCTAAGCACTCGACATTGTTGATTTCAATTGGTTTTTCTTTCCTTTAAATAAATGACATAGGCTTCATATTCAAGCCACTTTCATAGGGGTTGTGTTTTACAACTAGGAGAATGCTGTATTGTGTTTAATTTTCAACTACATCCTAAGAATGTTTCCTAAAGATTTTTAAATTTTTAACGCCTTAACTGATCAACTACATAAGAGGGAATGATAATTACAAGCTGAGGAGATACTAAAATTCTATTGTTATTATGAACATTTAAGATCTACTGGACAGGTGTTTGCTAGTCTTTATAAATTACCTGAATTAATTTTCCTAATAGTAACACTAATCCACTAATTAGGTGGTTACCATGTGCTAACTTCACTTACTCTTCACAACTACTGTATAAGGTAAGGGTTATTTTCTTCATCTTGTGGATGAAGGGATGGAGGCTCTGAGGTGATCAAGGTCAGCCAGCCAGTAAATGGCAGAATTAGAATTTAAACCAGGTCTCATTCTAAACTCAGTGATCAGGATGCCTTGTAACGAACACGGAACATTTTAATCATATCACAAACACATATTTCGCCAAAGGGCAGACTTTCAAAGTTAAAATAGAGTTTATGCAGAGGTATAATTAAGAGGTGAGGAAATGTGGGTTCTATCTCCCTATTGCATTGCTTCTGCGTGCTGTTTAGTTTTTTATAAGAGCATGTACTATTGGGGCACCTGGGTGGCTCAGTCATTTAAGAGGCTGCCTTCAGCTCAGGTCATGATCTCAGGATCCTGGGATCGAGCCCCACATCAGGATCCCTGCTTCTCCCTCTCCACCGCTTGTGTTCTCTCATGTTCTCTCTCTCAAATAAATAAATAAAATCTTAAAAAAGAAAAGAACATCTACTATTAATGTTTAAACTCAGAGTGACAGTTTTCCCTTTCTGCCCTCACATCTTTATGTATATCCCTCTTTTGACACTCCAGAAAAATATAAGGAAGACAGAAATCGCTAGTTTAACTCCATACTCCTTGCAAGGACGATTTGATCATAATCCTCTTTCACCTAGAAGAGACTCACTAACAATAGGTAACTGGGATTCACTTTGACAGGAAACCTGAAAAAAAAAAAAAAAAACCAGCAGCATTGCATCTTACGACAAAACCCCAAACCCAATTCTACATACGCTTTTGGAATCAGAGGGGCCGTCCCCTGGCCTTGACCTGGATCTTTCAAACACAGCTCTTAGGGACTCCTTCTCATGCTTCATCTTACGCTTGAGAGCTTCCAGCTCAGAGGTGTCAGCTGTGGTCCCCTTTTTGGGGGGGCGAACGAATATGGCTTTAAAGGCCTCGAGGGCTGTCTCTGGAGGCTTTGGCTTGACCTCTCCACCCCGGGTCTGGGCTCCACTGGGGCCGCTCTGGCTCTCCTGGGCAGCACTGCAGCCCATCTCCTCCTTCCTGGGCTGCTCGGGGTCTTCTGCCTTCACTTCCGCTTTGGGCATGTCAAGGATGAACAGCTGAGAGAGCTGCTCCAGGAGAGTGGGAGTGGCCTTCGCGTCCGTTGTCTTCTCCCCAGTCTTCACTGTCTGAGGCTCTGCCTGGGCTAAGGACTTCTGAACAGGCTGTGTCAATTTGAGCAAAGCCAGGTCGCCATCCTTTGGTTTAATTTCAGTGATGGTCTCCCCTCCCTCACCTGTAGCCCCCTTCTTGAGCACACGAAGCCCGCTAAAAAAGGCTGGAAGCTGCAATGACTTCTCTCCAGGGGCTTCTTTTTTAGATGAGGCATTCTTGGTGACACTGACACTCAAGTTCTGGTCTGTTACCGAGGGGAGGACTGGGGAACTTTCTTCTGCAGCTTGTCCTTGGGTGGGGCCGTGCTCTGTCTGAAGGCTACCATCACCAGGTTGCGGTTTGCTACTTATCTCAGATGGAGTCCTCTGAGGATCTTCTGCACAGAGCTCTGCATCGTCCCTTTCCCCAGTGGTGCTATTTTCCCTACAATCACGTGGCTTTTCTTTGGGATCCTGAGATGGCTCAGATAAAACACTGGGGGACTGTGGGCGGCTGGTGTTGCTTCCCTCTTCTGGCTGCTGGCCACCATCATCAGAGTCGGAATCACTGGTGGTGTTCACAAGGGTCCCACGGACCAAAATGACATCGTCTCTGTCCACACTCTGAGTACTGAGTGGGAGCAGCTCTTGCCCAGGGAGAGAAATCCCTGCCCCTGCTATTCCCTGATTTCTCTCTGACTCCGGCTCCACCCCCGCAGTCTTGCCATCATTTCCAAGGTCAGGTAGAACCCGCGCCTCTGCCGCCTGCCAATCTGAGCCCTGGCTGGGATCATCCCGCTGAGGTGCTGGATCCAAAGCTAAACTGTGGAATGCCTTCAGTACGGCATCTTTCTCATCAGGCTTCACAGAGTCCAACTTACTTGTAAACCCAAACAAAGTTTTCATAGAGAACTTGCTCAGGATCGACTGAGCCACTTCAAGTCTGGCTTCAGGTTTTTCTGGTTCCGAGACATCATCACTGCCGTTCAGAGAGTCTCCAGCGTCCTCCATGTCTCGGCAATGCCCTTGGTGCAGGTTCTGACTTTTGTCACTTTTCCCTGCTTGCTCAGTTTATCCACACCATCGGCTCTGAACTTACAGGACAGAGAGCAACAGGACCCGGCAGCCTGACTCAGCCGCAGAGCAAGCACACTTGGTCTCTTTCAGGTCACTTGCTGGGCCCTCCTTCCGGGGTGTGGGCGAGGATGGTACGCCCGGGCCAGCTGTGAGAAGTCCGCGGAACTTTATGCCCAGACGCCGCTGAGGCTGCACACCTTACTACACACGAACTGGGGAGGCTGCTCCTCTGGGACTTCCGTATTTATTCCCGTGGACAAAAGGGTTTTTGTCGGAGGGAGAGTCAGCCTGCCCCCAGTCATCCCGGCCCAGGACTTCGCTGTGAGCTCCGCCCAAGTGCCTCCCGGTAGCTTTCAACTTCCTCATTGGTGAGCAAGGGAGGCTTCAGAGCGTGCTGAGCCGGCAAGCAGATCCTGACAGCCCTTGACCCCCCACACCCCACCCCCCTTCGCCCAGCAGCCCAAGAAATTCAAAAGTGAATCAGCAGAAATTGACTGAAACGCTTTTGAGGAGCTCCCTTTTGCCATCTAAATTTTGGTCGGAAGCCTGGGCCCCATTCCAGCCAAAAAACCTAGCAGCACGCACAGATCAACAGTCACTTACAAAACCCAAAGCAAAGAAAAGCAAGTAAAGAAATAGACGATTTCAAAATGCCCAGAACTCTCAAAAGCAGTAATTTACTGCTCTTGAAACTTTTTTTTTTTTTTATGCTTTCTTCCGCTTCCCTGCAGGTCTCATCTGGAATGCAGATTTTAGCTGCCGGGGCCAGGGGGTGAGGGGGAACCCAACAGGACTGGTTTCAGATTACTGCTGTTTTAGCTCTGCCCTGGTGTCTCACTGTTCTACAAACAGGTACTGAGGCTAGCACGCCCACCACGCCCAGTGTCCACCAGCCTTAGGCCGGCAGAGTAAACAGCCCCAGCCCGGCAGGAATGATTACTCTCCCCACGCTCTGTGCCAACCTCAGGCTTCTGCTCAGCAGCTCTAACTTCCTGGTTTCCTTAGGAATCCTGGTGGCTGAAGGGCACCCCTCTCTGCTTCAGCGATCCAACCAACTAAGTGAAACCTGGCTTGCTACAAGGTAACACACAACCTGCCTTGTTAGGCAAAGAGATTCAGCAAAGGTCCCCAAGGAGCCAGATTCCCCTAAAGAGCAAGACATCTGAAAGCTCTCTGTCAGTCAGGTTTCTATCACAGACCCAATTTGCCTAAAACAAGAACAGGACGGACCAAATCACCATCAAACATCAGCTCAAGGTAGTTTCCAACACTCTGATTATATGCTGGGAACCTGGCAACCAAGGACATGGAAAAATTACGGCTCTGTTTCCTAGCTGCATAGCTAACTGCCTCTTGGGACAGCTTCCTATCCTACCTGAAGGTCTCAGTGTTTTTCAAATCTGGTCCAGTCAGCAGGCATTTTGCAAGCACCCGCGATGGACAAGTTACTGCGCTGGATCAGGACAGTCAAACTGGCTTAAAAGTAATCACTGGCTCTCTGAGCAAAGCTGCAGGAAGATGGAGCCCAAGTGTTAAACACAAACAGCAATTTATTCTGCAAAAGAGAAGCTGTAGCCACAAGCAAAACAACAGTCTTTGTTGGTCTGCTTCAGGGAACGGCCGTGAATATCACACTGATGACTTGAATCATGTTCCCCCAAAAGTATTAATACTGAGAAATTCTGATTGCAACACATTTCTAGCAATGCATTCAAAAGGAACCCTCACACACAAAAGAGTACATATTATAATATCCCACCAACCCCTAGGGGAAAGTTAAGAGGTCACTTCCTGGTCCCCGATTTGACCTTGTGTCTAAATGGAGACTTTCCCACTTGCTCCTGAGACTAGTGGGTTTGGGATTACTAATTAGGGCACACTTAATCAAAAGGCCACCATGACACACAGAAAACTTTATCGGCACCATTTAAGTCTTAGAACAGTTTCTTGTTCATAGGAAATGCCCATCGATAAAAATCAGACTTCTTCTGCTTCTTCAAGTCTGAGGAAATAAGGAATCACCACACCAGATCATAAGATCTGTCTTCTTAAGCCCTACACAGAGCATCCAACACAGGAGCGTGAGGAAGAGATGTGACACCTATTTTGTGTCATCCTTTTTAACTGAAAGGCTCCATTTTCTCAGACCTAACTAATTATTGATTTCCAGAATAAGTTTCTGAGCTGGCTTGTGTACTAGTTCCAGATAAGACACAGAGTCCTCTAGACTGAAACACAGTAAGAGGCTCTCCCCATACAATTCTCCTCCATTTATGAAGCATAATTCTATTACAAAGATGTATTCATCCAACCATCGTTTTTACGCACCAACTATGTACGAGGCTCTGGGGATATAAAGATGAAGAAAACTCCAGCTCTCCTCGTTCGTGAAACATGAAGTTTAAGAGGGGAAATCAGCCAAGAAAGAGGCGACACTTTGTTCTTACACTGTAAGTACTTAATACTCTAAACTCAGTCAGAATAGCAATAGATGCCATAAAACAATTCTGAATGAAAGAAAGCAGGGACCATCTAAATAAGAAGATGAGTAAGAAAGAACATCATGGTAATTCAAAGAGATCTTTGAATATAGACTCTCTCACACTATGAGAAATGTTACTGTTGCTGGTCATTTAAGGAATTGAAAAATGTTTGACCATAATGTTCAAATAAGAAGACTGCAAATGTTTTAAATCATTTTACTTTATTTTTCATCATGACAAGTATACTCTTTAATTCCCATCCACCGTTTCCCCCATCCTCCCACCCACCACCCCTCTGGTTACCAACAGTATATTCTCTATAGTTAAGAGGCTGTTTCTTAGTTTATGTTTCTCTCTGTGTGTGTCTCTTTCTTTCCTTTGCTCATTTGTTTTGTTTCTTAAATCCCACATGAGGGAAATCATATAGTATTTGTCTTTCTCTAACAGATTTATTTTGTTTAGCATTATACTCTCTAGCTCTATCCATATTGTTGCAAATGGCAAAATTTCACGCTTTTCTATGGCTGAAATATACATATAACAGAATATTTATATTTACAAATATATATACACCATATATATGGTATATATACCACAAAATATATCTTTTATATATATATATCTATACCACATATATTAATGGATAAAAAAGTGGTATATCTATGCCCCTAACATGATATATCTATGCCCCTAACATGGGAGCAGCCAATTATATAAGCCAATTAATAACAAAAGCAAAGAAACACATCGACAACAATACGTAGGGGACTTTAACACCCCCCTCACTGAAATGGACAGATCATCTAAGCAAAAGATCAACAAGGAAATAAAGACTTTAAATGACACACTGGACCAAATGG